GGTGAAATATGCAATATCTTAGATGTTGAAGGGTAGGTGAGGTCGGGCAGCTCTGTTCTACCTCTTCTTCCCTCTGGAGTGACGCTCGGTGAATGGAGGGGTCTTGTGTGGAGTGGGTTTGAGGACCACTTCTGGAGCAAGTGGTCTTAAGGTTTGGAAGGAGCAAAGAACCATGCTTCATCAAACTCAAGGTGAAAAGGAAAACGCTAATACTCATGCTGATTAAGTCCACTCGTCCAAGGGCCCTCCGCCGCGTCACACTTCAACCTGCTAATCCCCCAAACATCCTCGTGCCGGGAGATGTTAGCTTTTGTTAGCTTATGTTAGCATGTGTTAGCTTGAGGGGCTATATATACGTTTTGTTTTGGTCTTTTTCGGAATCGTCTACCATTCACACTACGTAAGGACAGCATGCTAGCCCGCTAACTCGCTGACTTTCACATCATCACGGTCAGTTTAAAAAATAACATTTCTTTTTCAACATTTACAAGTGGACATGCCTCATGAAACGATCTGATGTCTTCAAGACATCAGGAACCCAGGCTCACAGAAATACAAGTGCAGCTGGTGCTTCAGCCGATGTCTCTGTAACGTGGAAGAGTTAGAAGACTGAAAGATGAACGTTTGAATGAGTTTCTGTGGGGTCTACCAGGCTCACAATGAAAAATGTCCGCTGTTGTTTGCTCCATGATGCAAGAATCATTTGGTATCATCTGACAGCATCAGTCTGGCCTTTCATTAACTCTCAAGAGGCTCTTTTCACGCTTACATCACAAACCAGGAAGAAGTTTGGAAACATGTGATGACAACTTCCGGTGCAGTTCCCGACACTGGACTCACCGACCGACTGTGATCAAACCCACTGAGGTAAATGTGATCAGAGGTAAAATGAAGACTGCAGACGTATGTGCTGTTTGGAATCAACTGGAATTTGTCCTCATCTCTTCTAATCACATGTACCAGTGTGCTCAGAGTTATGTGTCAGTGGAGAAATGATGAAAACTAAGCTATGGTTGGAATTATTGTTTATCCGAACATAACAGAACACTATAATGACATGGAGATGAAGAAAACTGGGACATTTTCTAATTTTTTGACATTTTGTCAGACTTACTACAATGAACAGAACCCAAAAGAATTTGTCATCGCATCTTTCCAAACGTCTTCCTGGTTTGTGACATTAGCGTGAATAGAGCCTCTTTAAGGCCATTGCAAGGCTAAGCCAGACTAAATATATATTTATTTTTATTATATATATTTTTTTATTATTATTATTTTTTAATTCACAATGTGAAAACATCTGCATGCATTTTGAAAGTCAGAAATGGTTTTGTCATCTGTAAAACGTCATTTTCAAGTAAGTTTTGTTTTTTTTCAAAATGGGAGAGAAAATATTAGAGAAACGGACGGGAATATGTAAATTTGGGCATGTAATTTTAATCTAGTAAACTACTTGTCCATTTTCAATAGGAAAAGACACAATAGAAACAAAACCAAAAAGTTACAGAGTGTGTCTTTTATCTACTAATAGTGTAGTCTTTGTAGTCCAGGTCTCTGCTTTTGCCAGGGGATTCTGTGAAATCAAATCTTTTGAGAATGTACCTTCTGGTGTGTTCTGTTTTCGCTGACTTCAACAGCAAAATATATGAAAATTATAATTTACTTGATCCAACATCATGTTTCACACACATCACGCATTTATGAAGTCTCTATATATAATCTCTAGTTTCTCCTCAACAAATGTACACCAAGATTTTAAAACTTAGATCAGGTTCTTCATCTTGTTTTCACACTTATTTTCTACTTTCTAGACCTGAGACGCTTCATTCTCGTCTAGAGGTCGTTTATTTTAAGAGAACTTGTTAAGTCAAATGATCTTGCTGCATGGACAGATATTTTCACTACTTTTAAATAATTTTCTGAGAAACTGAAGTGTTTATATCTTAAATTTTGGCTTTTTCACAGTGCATGAATGAATAGCTGAGCAGATTTTGAGATGTTTCAGTGTTATGAAATCAAACGTTCTTTTAGATGTTCTCTTCCACATGTTTGAGGTTTCGTCTGACAGCTCCAGTGCGCTGTAGATCTGTGACGTTGGGTTTGTTCACACACTCACTCACTGCTGCGTTCACCGAGTTTCTTCAGCTCTTTATTGTCTCCTTTCAGGACTCCTGTGTCTTTCGCTCAAACAGGGAATGCATTACAGAATCACATTACTGCAACTCTCTAGGAACTCTAAAAAACTACCCTCTAGTTAAAATAAAGAAAAAACTAAAATAAAAACATGGAGAACACTCTAGACTGGAGACAACATGCTAACCGCTAACCATCTTAAGTAATTAGCATACTCGCTAGGAGGCTAATTTGAAATCTGTGTCTGATATTTGTATTTTTATTCTGTTTGATCATTTTCTCTGGACTATTTCTCCATAAACTAATGTTTATTCATCAAAAACACTTAAAGAGGGGGTATTCTCTGGGGTATTCAACACTGACATATGACATATTTAGATCACCATGTTATTTTTTGTTTTGTTTTGAAAGATATTCGCCAAAAAACAATATATTAACATGTTGAGGGTTTGAATAGGCAAGTTTCATTGTTCACAAAAGCGCGCGTTGCATGCTGGGAATTATTTTGATCGACGCCAAGAAACACTAATTCAACATGACGGACGGAGCGAGAAAGCACGTAAAGGGTATTGATCCCGATTATTTATCCACTCTAACGGCAGACGACCCAAGACCATTTGACCAGAAATTGGTCATGACGACAAATCACCCTTTTCAACCCCGACAAAAGGTGGACCAAACCAAATTTCTGGTCTGAATCGCCAACTACCTGGACAAATATTCACTTAGGCAATATCCAGAATGACTTGGTGGAAACTCCTGGGTCATTCACAGCAGAAAAGATGAAAACCTCCAAGAGTCTCGATGTGTTGTTGAACTTGTTGGAGTCCACGGTTTGTTAGGATCTTCTACATTTGTTTGAAAGCCATTTAATTCACCGTTAGCGGTTCTTTTCACTCGGAATACGAAAAAGACATTTTCCTTCTTCCGTGCTTCTATTTGTGCATCCGATAATGCAGCAGGAATTTACCATTATCGGGGATAAATACATGAGGTTACGAACTGTGTTTGACGCTACCGTGTTTCTTGCCTCTGACCAAAATATTTCCCAGCATGCAACGCGGGCTTTTAATAACAATGACGTCAGCTGAAACTCGCCTATAGGGCCCGGGAGAGATCTCTAGATTATTGAAACATGCACGGATGACATCTAAAACCTCCTCAGGCATGTTTTTTGATTAGGGAACAATAGTAGAAAGTTGTGTAATACCCCCTCTTTAACTGTAAACTGTTATATCGACATTGTTGGGCCGACAAGATTTTCTAGCAAGATGAGAGGAGAAGAAAAGAGAAGGGGGAAGGAGAAGTGGATTTGTAAAACTGCATTCTAATTTCACCAACAATCAGAGATAAAATAGTAAATGTAATAATGGGAAAATCTTTCTTAATAGCTAATTAGTTGTAAAAAGTGGTCATACATAAATAGGAAATAATTATAGCAATTTATACACTCAAACTCACAAGATTTAATTAGCCACGAGCTAGTACGCTAATGACTGCTTAGTTAGCAATTATTATGTGGTCCCCAAAGTGTTCCCAAAAATGTAAACCAAGAGTTTATAAAAGACTAAAGGAAAACGCAACAACCAAACAGAAATCAACTCAATCATAAAAAATGTTAATTATAAAATCATCAAGCCTTTTGAAGAATCCACATGCAGAGGGGGCGGGGCTTGGGTCGAGGGGGCGGGGCTCGTGTCAGGGGGCGGGGCCGTGATATGTTTTTGTGCACTCTGTGATTAGCAGCTAACCTGAAGCCGTGCACACAGACTGCCTCTCCTACAGACTGGATCTCTCCGTGGAAATCAGTGTATCGTAGCGTCGAGCGAAGAGTGAGCCCTTCACACAGGCCAGGCCCTGTCCGCCCGCACACACACGTGGACGCTTCATTAGATCCAGAGTTTAGGCTTTCTGTGTTTGCATGTGAAGTGTACTTAAACCCTGTCCAATTGTATTAAGCTCTTCCTCCCAGCGTTCTTCTTTGGTATTAGTGGATCTGCTGACTGTTGTAATACTTCGATTTGGTTTGTGGGGAAATGATCTGATGAAGAGTCCATCATGCAGTGTTTGTACTGAGCGGACACGGCCCTGTCTCCTACACTGGCGTTTCGCAGGTGTTAGTACAAACAGAAAAAAGGTCAACCAAACAGTAGGAGCTGCTGTGTGATGAGGCAATGTTATGCATCACATTAAGACATTTTCTTGAAAGTTTTGTTGAGGAATGTTTCTGAAAAAGGAATGCAATGCTGTATTCAGACTGGTAACATCGTAAAAAAGCTTTGAAATTAGTAATTAAATAACCCTCTACTATTTATACATTCAGGCACTGAAAAATCACATGTCAATATGTAACTAAAAAAGATAGTCGCTCTCTTTTCCTTGGTAAGAACAAGGAAGCTGAACCCTTGAAGTTGGCAATTGCGTAAATTCCTACCCAGTAGTAATGCCATGTGCAGGCTCCGCCCTCCTAAGTGCATGGACCTGCACACAGACAGTGTGCTGAAGGATGGTGCTGTGTCCTCCAGAGGGCGCTGTGAGCCCACTCACTGCCCTGGCCTGGCCTTAAGGACTCTCCGGTGACAGCCAGCTCTCACAGCACTGACTCAGTCACGTAACTATACAAGGGCTTTTACAAAAAAGCTAACTTGAACAGCCATACAATGGCTAAAACATAAACCATACTCTACTTGATCTGTTTGTCCGTCACATGGAGTGGACTTCTCTTTTAGATGCATTGTGTGTTTCTCAGTTCGTGTGTTTGAGCAGCTCTCGTGCTGAGGGCTCAGTCAGAGGTTGGGGGTTTGATGCCAGAGGATCAGGTTAAGACTCAGGTCTTAGTCCGCGGGGGGTGCACAGAGTGAGGAGGGCTATCCGCTGTCAGAGGAGGTGTGGGGGGCTGTGGATGGAGAGCGCCTCCTGCGGGTGGTGGAAGTCCAGGAGCGGTCGGAGCGTTCGGAGCGCTCTGAGGCCAGTGAGGCCGGTCTGAAGCGGTGCATGAAGCCGTCCAGGAAGTCCTGCTGCTGCTGGGATATGGCTTGTGAGATGAGGCAGGGCAGGGCCTGCAGGCTGCCCGTCACAGAGTCCAGTTTGTCCTCCAGAGTCCCAATGCGTTTGTCCAGCTCCTCACTGCGCTCCTGCAGCTCTGACACCAGATCGTACATCACATTCTGGGTCTGCTCCGCCGCCGCCGCCGCCACCGGAGACAACCAGGAATAAAAAGCAGAGAGAGACACACACAGGGACAGAGAACATAGAGAGAGACAAACAGAGCAGAGAGAGAGAGAAAGGGAAAAGAGAGGCACACAGAGACAGAGAGCATAGAGAGAGAGAGGGTCAGAGAACAGATAGAGAGACAGACAGAGGCAGAGAGAACACAAAGAGATAAAGAGAGACACAAAGAGGAGAGAAACAAATGAGACAAATGAGTTAGATATTTGAAACATTACAGGTGCTATATTGCAAATATATGTGCAAAATGATGCACTTGTGAGCTTCAGTCATGTCAGATGCTGTTACTTCATCAAACACATCCACACACGTGTTTGAGTAACACTTTATTATTAGTCTGTCTCCATCTCCAAAGCTCCAAACGCTCTGTTCCACCTTGTGATGTAAATCACATCATACATCAGAAAATCACACAATACGGGCCCTGTAATGACTAAATATACCTATATGTAGTCCAGCCCGCAGTAACTCAGAGCACATACGCTGAAAATCAAGGTAACAGCTTAAATGCGGCTTGTAAAATAAACTTGATTATTTGAAATGGCTGGCAATAAAGCTCCCACACATCCACTGCTTTGTAATGTGCATTGTCTGAGATGGGGCCATAACTCATGGGGGATCCTGCGGAGGAGGGCGGGAGCTGGAGAGGAGGCCCCGCACAGTTTAGCCAGTCAGCAGAGATTTTATCAGCCATTTAACAGCAACAATCCATTTAGGCCTTAGCAGCTCTTTATGCACCTCAATCACCTAATGAAAAGTGTCTGTGTTATTTAGCAGCACAGTGCATCCCTATAGCACTATGGATCAGCACTTGGACGCAACGCTGACAACGCTAACAATGCTAAAGATGCTAACAGTGCTAACCGCTATTCAGGTGTCATACTGTCCATCACAATGACAACAATGGAGACCACTTTTTCACAATGCTGAAGTGACCCACTTCAGGTTTGAGGAACTTCGGGTTAATGGTTTTCTGTGGCAAAATGTGTGTGTAAATGTGTGTGTAAATGTGGTGTAAATGTGTGTGTAAATGTGTGTAAATGTGTGTGTAAATGTGTGTCGTATTCTCCAGCAGCTTCATAAATCTGCCCCATCACCAAATCTTCAACCAACAAACTCCACAAAGAATAAACATTCTAACATGAACAATTTATCCACAACTATCAAGAGAAGAAAGATGAAGTAATTTATTAATAAGTAACTTGTTAACTCAGACTGATTCTAGAATTCAATTAAAAAATCGATTTCATGGTGTTGATGACACCATAATATTAGTTTTGTTCAGTATGTCACTAATGCTCGTCCTTGTTTCCTTTACGTTTTTTCTTTCTTCTCTTGATAGTTGTGGATAAATTGTTCATGAAGAATGTTTATTCTTTGTGAACCTTGTTGGTTGAAGATTTGGTGATGGGGCAGATTTATGAAGCTGCTGGAGAATACACAAGACATTTTCACACACATTTTGCCATCGGTAAGTCAAAACAGTCGCCCCAGCAGATTTATACAAAACCCAGTTTTTGTCCCAGTAGAGAAAGAAATGTCCCACGTGTCCCTGTTTTTGACAGTAAAGAGAGACATAAACTGTTGTTTGTTTAGGTAAAATACAGAAAAGCTGCTTAAAAAGACCAAAACTTAAAGAAAATGTGACTATACTGACTCACATTGTGTCATGTACTTAAGAATTTTCCATAATACCAACCAACCCAAACCAGGGATGTCCCAGTTTTTTAGGTTGAAAATACTGTCACTATAGCCATAGAAACCCATTAACTGGAAGTTCCACAAACCAATGCAGAGCACTTCTGGCCATTGTGAAAAAGCTCTATTCAGATGTCCTACTGTCCATGACAGTGCACAGGGCAAAGACGCACACAGGGACAAGAGAAGGCAGCTCATCTGAATTCAGAGATAAGAGTAAATGAAGGTAGTATGGGATGGTATTTTTCAATTTAATAGTTAATATTTGACTATGAGTTGGTTTGTTTGCTTGAAAAATGTATGTGATTGGAAAATGTATGAAAAAAGTAATGACAATGCATCAAGACTACTGCTGCTTTCAAATTTGAAATTAAAAATACAAGTTGTCTGGGCTTCAGAACATGTAATACTTTACGTTGGGTCATAGGTGAATCTCCCTGTTTTCAAATGGCCATGATTTCTCGTTGTTATTATAACACATTGTGATGTTTGGGCTTCTGTTTCTAAGTACTTTTCCTAATGGATCAATAAAGTTTATCTAAGTCTAAGTCTGCCTGTATTGCAAAAAATAAAGGAAAAAAACATCAGAGGGAACTGAAAAACACGCTGGATTTCTGCAGGATCAGTTACCGAAGCGCTAACCTTTTTATTTTATTTGTAAAATAAAATAAAGAGCTTCCTTCAAAACAAATCTGATTGGACGATCACGTTTGACTGGGCTGATATTGATCTGTTTGAAGTAAACACAGAGAATCACGTTGGATTTTCAGGCAAAGTTAGAGGAGCACTATGTCATTTTTCTGAATCCACCACCTTCTTGTCTCCACTGGCCAAGTTACATTTCAGATCTGTGAAGAAGCAAGCCCACTCACAGTAAGAATGCAAGTTTTTTAAGGTATTTTGGACCAATAAAAACACAAATAAATGCAATGTTACTCTGTGGAACATTCCAGTTACTGCTTAAACACAATTGGTGGAGATGAGCAAGTGGCAGACCGTAGAGTAGAAGAGACTAATTGTGCACCTTTATTAAATAGGTCAAAGTATTATGTCAAAATCTGATCAAATTAGAGTCATATATAAGGGTCTGCAAACATATTGAAATATAGATATATCGTATTGTTTAATGTGATGATACAGTATCAATATCGTGGGCTGCTGTATCGATATATCACCAAGAGTATTTTCTAATATATTTTACAAAATTATTTTGTTACAGCTACAGTTTTGTTGTTTGTTCAGAGGAAGGAAACTCATTTATGCGACACATTTGACATTTTCACTGTTTTGATGATTAAAATATTTGTGTTTCATATGAACTTTGCACAAGAAGTGGTTTAACAAAGATTTTTAGTATCACAGCCATGATTTAGTCAGTATTTTATTGAACTGTATTAAATTGATTTGAAAAATATCATATTGAATTGAAAGCTCACTGTATCAAGATATGTATCGTGGCCTATGTATCGAAATATGTATCGTATTGTGGTCCATGTATCAAGGTATAGATCGTATCGTAGCATATGTATCGAGGTATAGATTGTATCGTAGCTTATGTATCGAGGTATAGATCGTATTGTGGCCTATGTATCGAAATATGTATCGTGGTCTATGTATCGAGGTATGGATAGTATCGTGGCCTATGTATTGAGATATGTATCATATTGTGGCCCATGTATCGAGGTATGTATCGTATTGTGGCCTATGTATCGAGATATAAATCGTATCGTGGCCTATGTATCAAGATATTTATCGTATCGTGGCCTATGTATCGAGATATGTATTGTAAAGTGGCCTATGTATTGAGATATGTATTGTAAAGTGGCCTATGTATTGAGATATGTATCATATCGTGGCCTATGTATCGAGGTATAGATCGTATCGTGGCCTATGTATCGAAGTATGGATCGTATCGTGGTCCATGTATTGAGATATGTATCGTATTGTGGCCTATGTATAGAGGTATGGATAGTATCGTGGCCTATGTATCAAGATATGTATCGTATCGGCCACTTCTTAAAGCTACCCAGCCCTAGTAATATATTGACTTTTAATGGGTAATTCTACATTTATAAATAAAGTTATCATGAGTTTTGTGTAGACGTGACACTATTTTACTCCGGAGTTTACTCCCCCCCCCCCCCATACACACACACACGCCCACACACACACACGCACACACACACGCACGCGCACACACGCACACACAGGTCCAAATGGCATCACATCAAAGCTCCGTTCACTGGCCTTTGAAACATCCACACGTCCTGTACTGTAGAGGGCACAACAGGACACTAGGGTCATACTCAGCCACTCTACTTTCCACACTGTACCTGAATGCATCATAGTAAAAGAGTAAATAATTAAAGGGCCCATATTATGCAACATGGTAGTTTTCACAGCAACAGCTACCTTTTACTTTTTGTTCAACAGAGACTGGCAACAAGCTCTATTCACGCTTACGTCACAAATCAGGAAGACGTTTGGAAACATGTGATGACAACTTCCAGCGGGCTCTGTTTGCAGTAGTACGTCTGGGTACCTGGGATTAGAAGAGATGAGGCCAAATTCCAGTTGATTCCAAACAGCACATACGTCTGCAGTCTTCATTTTACCTCTGATCACATTTACTTCAGTGGGTTTGGCGAGCCCAGTGACGGGAACTACACCGGAAGTTATAATCACATCTTTCCAAGCGTCATCTTGGTTTGTAACGTAAGTGTGAATAAAGTCTATTCTAGGACTGAAATGATCCAAATGATTCTAGTCAATGTGTATGTCATTTAAAAACACAGAGGAGTACTTTCTGTATTACCATATGACATCACAAGGTGGAAAAGAGTGTTTTCCGTTTGAGAGTACTCAGTACTTGTCCTAAATGTGCACGGTGTGTGTGTTGAACGTGTGAATGAAACAAAAACACAACTCCAGGTCTGTTTGTGATGAGGAAACTACATTGGAACATAGATCCTAAAATAGCTTAATATAGGCCCTTTAAGAAAAACTGAACTGCTTTAACCTTTTACTTAAGTATACTGTAATCAATTACATATATGTCACCAGCTCGTTATGTGTTTAAATGTAATAAGACATAATCATGTCCATTGCATTTCTACTTTTAACCTCATTTTGTCTGCCCTAGTCTACTCTATGGTCATTTATGGGATGCCACTGCACCGTACCAAAAGGTTATCATACTTACTCATACATGATGGTGATTCAGATATAGCATTAACGTCTTCCACATAACCACCTTGTACTTATTTGAATTATTAGCATTAGAAATTCTAGACTATTCTGAATTTATGAAACAACTGGCACAGAGAAGTTTACCTTCGCCAGGTCCACCAAGGTGTTCGCCTGGTCGTTGAGTTTCCGCTGCTCCATCTTCACACTGCGCAGTCTGGTGGGCGGAGACAGGCAAGAAGTGGGCAGGGCAACAAAGGAAAGAGGCGGGGCATGGACAGAATAGACCAATGGGAGTAGAGAGGGAGGAGGAGGAGGAATAATAAACAATGTCAGAAGACAGCCACATACTGTAAATGTAAAAGTGAGTGCAACCTTCATGCAGAACAGAGATATGCTGTTGTCATGTGTCCATATGTATACATATATGAAGAGGACTATATATGTATAAATACAGTCAAGTTCAAAACAAGCTGTTGTGGTTTGGATCAATGCAAAACCAGTCAAGACATGCAAATCACAGAGGCATACTGCAGGCACCAACTCAAATGTTTCAGTTACTTTTTCTCATGGTTTGAACAAGATCTGGTATGTGGCGAGGACACTGCTCCACGTGTGGAGGACTTCACTGGAATACTGGGCTGTGATTCTGCTTTGTTGCTGTTGCAGGAGCATCTGGTTATTTGCATTTGTTGTAACAAGATTAAGGATTATGTTTTTGTCCCTGTAGGTAAATTTGTCCTCTGTATTTGACCCATCCTTCAGTGCGGCAGGGGCATCGCCTCAGGAGCAGGAGACACCACAGTGCAGTGCCCAGGGACCCGTGTCCAGCTCGTGTACTGGGCTCAGTCAGGACTATCTTAGCTGGAAGGTTTTATCTATTCTTTGCCCAGTAGTCAAACTCACAACCATCTTACTGTGAGGAGAGAGTGCTAGTCACTCAGTCACTGTGCTGTGTCCCTCACATCACTGGACTGAAGAGTAAAGAGTGTCATCAGACGGAGAAGGACACAGTTTTGTCGCTGGAAGCTCTGAGTGTGTGTTTGTGTGAGACTCTGTGGTGTCACTTTGTCATGCACATGTTCAGAACATACTCTGGACTTCTTTCATTTTCTGTACCAGCAGGAGGCGCTGTGGGGCCACAGAGCGTCACTTTATGTCCTTGATCTGTGTCAGATTTTGATTGAATCTGGAGCGGCCTCCAGTTGTTTGTAATAGTTGCTCTGCTTCTTACAGTGTGCAGGGACCTGTAGAATCTGTCAGGAACAACTGTAAAACGTCTCCTGACTATGTTCATGCTGCTCCACCAGATCTTGTTCTAACAGTCATTAAGTTTGAGTTTGAGACAGACCAAAGGCAGTGCTTTTCCAGAGAGTGCAATATGCTTCTGTGGAGGAGAACCTCTAGAATGTAACATCAGAGTCAAATCAAAGCATGTCCTGATAAAGTAAAGTAAAGATGGCATGCCCTGGTCCTCAGCAGCGTGCAGTGAGCAGACTGAGCACAATGGAAGGCCTGAGTCTGTGCTCCTGGTCACTCTATGGTCACTAATGTTTACTTTCATTTACCTACAGTCATGGTAGCTAGTGATGCTAATAACAGCTGTTAGCAGATACATGTTTAGTACAGATCATCTGAGTGTGGCACATGGTGCAGTTTGTTGTCTTGTTCTCCTGTCATGTGACGTGTGGTTAACACAGTAGAAGTTCCTTTTGAACCCCTGACCATCTTAGATTTTCGAGCTCTTTTTCCACATCCTCCTCCAGTTCTGCTCTAAAGTATCTGGCACCACAACTACACACTGTGTCATTCTTTAGCTGCTGTAATGAAGTGTACGTGTGCATTCAGAGGGACCATAACACATCAGCTCTCTAGTGATTATGCACAGACCACAGCCTGTAATAGTGACACACGTCTCCATAAACTTCTGATCTGTTCTAGTCTAACCTGTGTCTTATCTGTAATCAGGCGGGAGCGGGGAAGCCTGCTGAACATGGCGGAGTGTGCCACCCAAGCTCGTGTTCTAATGATGAGGAGAGATGACATTCAAGGGCATTTCTTCATGTGCAAATGAGTGTCTGCGTGTGGCTCTGGGAACCCCGTCTCTGTCTGAGCTCTGCTTTGTAGTGCTGCACTGAGGCCCATTATTACACTCATGTGTTACTGTAGAAGAGCTTTTGTGTGATGAGAGAGTGTCTTCTGTTACTGGGCCAACCCTGGCACTCCAATCAAACAAACTATTTACATTTGTCAAAACAGAGATCGTGTGAAACATCATTTGAGCTGCACAAACAAGAATCAGGTCTAAGAAGCTCCTCATTTGGGAATACAGCTTCATGTGAATTAGGAATGCTAAGGATTTTCCAGAAGCAGCCAGTGTTTGTGGGTCAGCTCACCTACACTGTCACTGTCAAATATATGTTTTTAACTTCTGTCTACTCCTTTTGAGCTCCTCAGCTATGCAGTGAAATCACAATGTATTTACTGTAATGTACAGAAACGAAGCTCAAATAAATAAATCAAATCACATTCAGAAGATAAGTCTCTGTTTGGTCTTTGTCCCTGAAGGTTGTTGGAGAGGCACACTGACAACACTGACTCCTTAACTCCTAACATGACCAGGTGAACCACTCTGTCCTGAAAACATTAGATCCATATGTTCAGATAAATCCTGGTGTCTGACACATTTCAGAGTCTGAGTGTTGGAGTATCCTTGGTCTGTGTGATTCCTGGTGCCTTCATTGTGCTGTAAACTCATTTCAAAACAATAAAACAAGAGAAAAGAACATTGGAGCATTCCTTACACTGCAAAAACATATCTACATGAGCTAAAACGACATGCATTAAAAACACCCATATTAAGCAGAGTACTTTTGACTAGTTTTGATGGTTTTGTATGTGTTTATATGTATCACTAGTCAAAACTACTCAAATCAAGATTAATGTTTTGAATGCACTGAATTTGAACTCGTGTAGATAACCTGGTTTTGCAGTGCATCAGTTGATGTCTTCATGACAAACCCATAGTAAGAAGTGCATGGAGCGGCTAATATAGCAGCTATGGTGCTATATTAACATGTGGAGCAAACAGAACATGATGTCAGACCACACAGCTCCAAGCTCATTCTGTGCACGATGCTTTGAAAACAAGAGTCTCTCCAGCAACCTCCCCTTCAGACATGTGCTGCTCGCCCGGCTCAGAGATGGGAGGAGGGAGAGATCGGATGACACACGCAAATGAAAGCTCCCATATTATGCTCTGTTCACACTTGGTATTTCACGTTAAAGAGCCTCTATTACACAACACTGACTCGAGAGATTTAACTCATGTTATATTGTTAATGCCTTAAAACACACCTGGACTTGTGTTTTATTTCATTCACACATGTTAATGTTTAATCTTAGTCTGTCTACATCTCCAAAGCTCCAAATGCTCTGTTCCACCTTGTGATGTCATGAAGTGGTAGTTTTCATGTTAACAGCTACAGTTTACCTTTTATTCAACTGAGATTGTCAATTCTAGACCTGAAATGATCTAAATGATTCAAGTGAAGGTGTATGACAGGGAGGTTCAACCTTTTTTCATCAAGGGCCACATATGTAAACAGAGACAAAGCAGAGGGCCGATCGAGGGCCGCAGACTGATGCTCAATACAGGGAATGGTAACACTTTATAACTACACCTTACTTAGCCTTAATAAAGCATGAACAAAGACTTAATTAATAATGAACAAAGATTTAATTAATAATGAACAAAGATTTAATTAATAATGATTCACGCTTAATAAATGCTTAATAAAGCATAATTTGTCTTCATTTTAGAAAAGCTCTCAAAAAGACAACAGATAACAGCTGCCTGAATGATCATTGCATTGTATTATAAGTAAATCATTCTTTCATAGTTTACTAATGATTAATAAATGCTCAAATGGTTAGTCCATGAGTAATTAAGTATGAAATAATTAAGAGTAACTATTTACAGCACAAGCAAATTAAGTCCAAGTGCGAATTAAGGTAGTAATTAAGTAGTTACTAAGTGTGAATCATTATTAATTAAGTCTTTGTTCATTATTAATTAAGCCTTTGTTCATGCTTTATTAAGGCTAAATAAGGTGTAGTTATTATAAAGTGTTACCCAGTGAATAATGGAACTATGTGCATGTTTAAACACGTTATACTGGTCCATCGTCTTTATTCATGCTAAGATTCTTAAAACCACACACTAAATATTCGATAATGACTTTATTAAGGTAGATTTTCAAAAAACTTGCAGTAAAACGTTAATTTCTATTTGATGCAAGGTCATTTGGGTTAATTCACCTGAAAAAAAATTGTCTTAGGGCTGCATTTTACCCATGGACCATAGTTTGGACATGCCTGGTGTATGGGGTTTAAAAACACAGGGGAGCACTTCCTGTATTACCACATGACATCACAAAATGGAAAAGGTGGAGTAGTTTTCTAGAGAGAAGAACCTAAATAAATGAAAAAAACGAAACAACACAAGTCCAGGTGTTTTTGATGAGGAAATTTTATAACATAGATGAGTAAACAGTGTAATCTGGGCTCTTTAAGGTTCTGTGCTCTGAGGCACTTAAAAGAAAATTGTTCTGAGATGTGTTCGTTGTGATCTCTCCAATAACTGTATGCAATTTAAAACATGGAGGAGCTCGTCCCAGAGAAGGAGCGGACCACATAGACCAGTGGAATAAAACAAGTTCCTAAATTGCATGAATGAAACACAACTCCAGGGCCGTTCTGTGCAACATGGCTTGAAGCTTTAAAAAAATCACTTCAGCATAATATGGGACTTTCAAACCAAAAATCAAATTCCAGCAACACTTTTGGTCATAAAAATCCATGCATTTCAACATGAAGAGAGAGGAGGAGAATGAGAGAGGGACAGGTAGGAGACAGACTTACTTCTGAGCTCTGCGGTGATACAGCAAAACAAAGACAAAACACAATACAGGTTTAACCCACGACATTCACCACAGGAGTCCCACTGGCACCAGGAAAGCGAGGGGAGGGGGAGGGGCCAGGGGCGGGGTCAGGGGGGAGGAGCACGGCTAGGGGGCGGAGCTACGACGCTACAGTATGTGCACGGGGAAGTCGTCACAGATATGCAAGCGCTTACAATATACAGTAGTAGAAGAAGTGGTTGCGTTCACAGAAAGTTTTTCACAATCTCACAAAGTAAAGCAGCACGTAATATTG